CATTATGACTAGTAACATTAACCATTGGGGGAGTGGCTGGATTAAGGTTACAAGTGAGAATATTATTTTCCAAAACCACTTTTAGAAAAAAGAAATCCAAAAAAAGGAACCTGATTGCTTACATGGACAGTAAACCTAAATAAGCTTACATGAACAGTAAACCTAAATAAGTCCAAATGTTGTGAAATAACAGATTTTTTGAAAAATCACAACAATGGTTGCAAGTTTCCCAATCCTACCAATTGAATTGATTTAACAGGCAGCATTTTTAAGAACTTGTTGTTTATAAAGTTATTGAGAATCTAGAAATACTAAGATTGTATTTCAGTAAAACTGTTTAGATTTGTCTAATAGCAACATAAGCATGAATGTCACCTTTTGTCATAGTTTTACCTTTGTGTGTTAGATTATTGCAATCCAATGAGAAAACACCGTAATCTTGTACACCCTGACCTCAGCTTTCTTACCATACTGTGTCTGAACATTTTCATGTTGGTAATGGGGTCAAGCAAGGTGGGATTTGATCTCCTTTGTTGTTTAATCTGTACATGGATGATCTCTCTAGGAAACTGAACTTGTGTAAAACTGGCTGTGTCATCGGTGCTACTGTTGTCAACCACCTTATGTATGCTGATGATTTAATCATCTTCTCCCCATGCAATGCTGGCTTACAACAGCTTCTGAGGACTTGTTCCCAGTATGGCATTGATTTTAATATTAAGTATAACGCCAAGAAGAGTAGCATCATGATTGTGCGAAGTAAAGAGGATAAAAAGGCTGTATTTTCTAATTGTATTCTCAGTAACAACATTATTCTCGTGTGCAGTGAGATTAAGTACCTTGGTCATTATATTTCTGATGATCTCACAGATGACAAAGACATCCATAGACAACGCTGCAAAATGTATGCCCAGGCAAACATATTAATGCGGAAATTTCACAAGTGCTCTGTAGATGTCAAGGTATCACTTTTTAAAGCTTTCTGTACACGGCTCACCTGTGGAGTAACTACAAGGCTAGAAGCATACACAAACTAAAAGTGGCATACAATGATGCTTTACGGTTGCTGCTGAGGGTATCAAGATGGCACAGTGCCAGCCAGCTGTTTTGTTAACTTGGGGGTACCTACTTGTCAAGCCCTTTTTAAGAAAGTTAATGTACAAATTCATGTGTCGCCTAGAAGACTCAGACAATCATGTTATCTCGATTTTAATTAACCCTGTGAAGAGTTCTACTCGATTCTCTTCCATTATTTGGAGACATTGGCGCAATAGCCTATACAGTGAGCATGTGTGGCTAGCTGTGATTGGACTGATTTTATGTTTTTTATCTGTTTGTTTTTATCTGTTTTGTGTTTAGCTTTTCATCTTATTTATTGATGTGTGTCTTGTCTTTTTGTATGTGATATGGACCTTGAGTCTGAAATAAAGATTGAATTACCATAATTTGCCAAAGCACCTTATTAGTGCAGAATAAAATGGTTTTAATCGAGAATCAATTTGAAGTCAAATTTAAGAGTAATCTTAATCTCATCATGAAGAAGGGAACAATTCACACCCCTTCTTACATCATTAAATACAAATAAGTTTGTACTGAGTTCTATTTCTCCTTTTTTTTCAGCATATCTGTGTGATCAGTGAAAGTGGGAAAACAAAATACAAGATTTAAAAAAGGACTGCAAAAGGAGGCCACTGTCATAGATGTCATCAAACAGCAAGCCTGAACATTTTCCCTGGGATTCCATTCACTTACAGCTGCTATCGTGCCATTTGATCTCAAGCATCCCCTAATTTGTTTTAACATTCCTTCTATGAAATGTGTTATAACAATAGACACTGACGTTTATCTGGTAATCTTATCAAAGCAAGTACATGGTGTACTTTGCTTTTAAAGTAGCCATTTCATTCTTTATGTTTACAGAAGTTATCTGTATTGATAATTGAAATACAAGGAAACTGTGTGCCATAGTTTGTTTGACTTTAACACAAATTTCATCTCAACTTTGTGCCATAGTTTGTTTGACTTTAACACAAATGTCATCTTAACTTTGCTTCTTGTATGCATTGTAAAGGCTTGATAATCATGACCTGTATGAATGTGATACATTTTCTAAAGTCAGTGTGTGATTAGGTAACAAAGGAAAGCTTCTTTTAAAATGACAGAAACAGTTTTAATAAGAAATTAGGGATAGATTTTAACATGTTATTAACGTGTACATTGCCTGTCTGGTATTTCATTACTGTAGTTCTCCTGCTGTCACCTTTAATGCGGGGCAAACACTGAGTGTACTTACTACTTTAAAACTGAGATGTAGTGTAATAGTTATCTAATTTCTGTATTTCCTTTTATAATATAACATGCAAGTAAAGTATTTCAAACATTTACTTTGTCATTTATCAGTTTAATATTATCCCATTATCGGACTTAAAATAATGCACTACATATATTAATACAATTTGTTTTAAGTGAGGTCTTGGCTGGCTACCTCATATGTTTTTTTTAGGCTAGTGATATACCAAAACATATTAAATTGTGTGATTTAAATATGTATTTTTGTGCTATATCATATTACTGAGCTGCTGGGATGTTTTACATTCTAGTGAAGACAAGGGAAACTAGCTCATTGAGGAGTGCTCTTTAACTCCTTAACCTTTTGTTAACTGGTGTATTATTGCATCTTTTTCATTTTAAGACTTGAATCCTGAAGATTGAGGTTAGAAATTCTTTAATTAAAAAAATAGATAGGTTAACTGCCAATGATCTAGTACAGGGAACAATAGAGAGTGGTTGTGTTGAGCTGCAGTGCTCTTTGTACACACCTGACATATGACTCCCCAGACTTTAAGCAGGGAACACAATGTGCCTAAAAAAAACAAAGCAGTACTTTTCATGGACTCAGGCTGGGGATTGTAGTGAATTGACTGACCTGAAATATGCCCTAATAACTAAGGAAAATATGAAGCACCCTAATAGTATTACATTATTAACAGCCTACGTTTTACTTGTAAGTCTTCACAGGAAAAAGTATTCAGATTCCTTACTTGAGTAAAAATAGCAATAACAGACATTAAATACTCTTTTAAGTAAAGGTCCTTGGTAACAGGGAGACACTGGTGAAGAGGGCAACATTGTTAGCTTCTAAACAACCCCATGTTACTTCCCATAGTTATAACTTATACTTTACAATTCCTTTTGTAAGAATTGTTATGATCAAATATGCAAAAGAAGAATTATCTAATGCTAACTTTTGGTGAATCAAGGAGAAATTTGCAGACACAAATGGATTAAGTGTAGTCAAATAAACACCTTAAAGGTCCCCTATACTGTTTTTCATCAATAAATTATAGGTCTCAGATATATACAAAACATGTCTCTGAAGTGTTTGGCTCGAAATACCAAACAGATCATGCATTGTAGCATCCCATCAACCCCACTGTTTCAGCCCTGTTTCAAAAGTGCTGATTCTCTGTCTGTTACTTTAGATGAAAATAAGGAGCCACTCCCAACGCCCCTCTGAGAGATATTTGGTTCTAGGAGGAGATTCAGGTGATGAGATGGGCGGATGTTACTGGCTAATGGTCACACAAGCCAAAAAATCGTTATGAGATCATAAAGTGGCCAAAATCTGATCAGCTCATTTTCAGACAGGTTTTTATATAAATGGATCAGGACAAAAAGAGAGCACGTATTTTTTCCTGAAACTTTCAGAATCTCTTTACACAGAGGGGACACGTGTTTGTGTATAAAATACATGAACAAGTGGAATTTGCACAATAGGTGACCTTCAATGTATAGCCTACTTCGGATGGTTTCATTCCACCAGACTGCAAAAACGTATTATGGAAGCAGAATAGCAACAACTCTCAAAATGGACCAATGCATGAAAACCAATGTGTTGGACTGCAGGGTCTCACTGTTTTGTGTTTGAAATCCTGCAAAACAAAAAAAAAGGCTATAGCTGTCAAATCAATGTAGTGGAATAACAAAACAAGTTCCTTTTGATATGTAGTGAAGTAAAAATAGATCTTATGGAAAAACTCTTTATGGATGACTTTATTGTCATCCATGATGTAGTACATCGTTGAGTGAAATTGTGTTTCTCTGGTCAAAAGAACGCACAATACATTATAGTAGCCTACAATAACAACTATAGGACAATAATGGGGAGATATGAATTCAAGTAGGCTGAACAAATATAAAGTGCAATAAACAAAACCTGTTAGTGTTTCATGAGGATATTGAGGATATATTTTTTTGCACTTTTTGGGGAAGCAGTTCAAAGATGTTTTGTCTGTCAGGTACAAATGGAGTTGGACCTCAATTTACAAGTTGTTTTCCTACTGCTGAAAATTGAACTAGCTGGACAGGACAGCTTTGTGAAAGTCTCCTCCCAAAACTGACCTCTGCAACAAAAGCTGCCAATCCCAAGAACAGGTGGTCCCTTATGGTGGAGGGGAATAAAAGGAACATTTGTCAGACCTCTGACAATCTGAGCACTTATTCTACAATCTGTTCAAGGTTGTGTGTAAAGCACTGTCGTTGTGGAGCAATTGATTTGAATTATCTGCTTTGGGGAGTATGTCAGCAAGATGAGAGCAGAGATTATATGTTGTGTGAACTCACATTCCTCATCCACTGCCATCCACATGCCAGCCCTTCTCGACCTCACTTTGAACCAGGACATGTGACTGTTCGTTCTGCCTTGTTGTTTATATGATACGAAAGCGGGTTGAATTGTTGAAAGGCTAGAACATAACATAAGTGTGTCTTTGTTACTTCCACTTCGTCGTCCGGCAGACAGGGAACGTTTTCTCCCCACATTAAACTCCAGTTGAAACGGCAAAAAAAAACACCACTTTTTACCAACTCAGCTTACTTTTTGCGAACTCGCACCTGATTGGCTCGGTCAAATGCAACCGGGCTTGTGATTGGCTGAGAGCATCCTGTTGACCGAAGGTGGACTCCCAGAGAGTAGGGATCGGGAACGCTGGAAGCAAAAAAATCTCCTGCTCCAAAACGGCACCATGCGCCTCCCCTGTGTGGGTTTGGAATAATCACCGGGAAGCAGTTTGTACTCAAACTATATTAAATTATGACAACGCCTGACCATCTTGCAACTCCCACGCTAAGATTTGACTTTTTCTTGTCGCCTTTATGGATACTGGCTGCCGCTGTTACCGGCCTGTAATGACGCTTTGCAACTACACAGGTAACTTTGTTTAAACTCCAGCCGTTAGCATGGATGCTAACCGCTAACAGCCTGTAGCCTCAGTTAGTTTGGTTGTTGTTTTTACTCACTTTACAAGTTATTTCTCACAACGTGTATAACGCATAAAGTGAGTATGTCGGCTCGTATCGCCTTTTGAACTTTCTTTGTGTCGGTATTATATTACAAGTAACAAAGAAAAAAACGACTTTTGTGTGTCGCTGGAGAACAACAGCTCGACACGCTCTGTTCGTGCCTCAGTTGACCATCAAACAAGAGACTTTCAAATTCACCCCCTGTAACCACACTACCGATGGTTTTATAATTTAAATACAAATCATATGATGACCAAGTGTCACTTATGCTTTATTATCCTGGTCTTATATGCTTGTTGTAACTTAATTTCAAATATGACGGACTCTCTTTCGCCCTGCCTCCCATCTGTAACTAGTCCACTTGTTGCTGGCCATTCATTATGCAGTGTTGACTATCCACGTTGTTGTGCTTCAAGCTGAAGGCAGCAACCTCAAATTGTTCTCGGGTGAATAATGCGGTGATGTCGTGGTTTGTCACCTCTCTGTTTTTCAATACGTCCACAACTTTAAGGTGATATTCAGTTAAGTTAGATTAGCATGTTGCATAATGCTGATTGTCCATCATTAAGCACGGATGGTCTACTATTATGTTGTTGAAATACTAGGGTATTGATTCATGTTGTTTGATCAGTGATAGACGCCATACACAATTAGCTAATTTAAAAATAGACCTAACCCTAAAACAAAGTGCAGTAATAACATATGTCTGTGATTTCTTTCTCTTCAACAGATGGACTAATACATCAAGCAACACAAGAATGAAGCTGTAAATTGGAGAAACTGGAATGATATACTTGCATCCTGCTGGAGCTATTTTTTGATATGGGCGTTCATGGATAAAAGGATTTTATTTGAAGTTGAATGATGGCATCACATTGGGTTCATTCTGAAGATGATGGGAGACAACCAGCAAGATCTTCTTTCTGTGAGGTAAACAACAAGAAGAACACAATTCAAACCTCACACGATGAATGTTATTTGTATAATAATGAATGACATTTTTCAAGTGGGGATCATGAAAGAGATTTTTCAGGGGCTACCGACTCTCTAGTTTCTCTCTCTCTCACTATGGTGTTTGTGGGGGAGTAGTGTGTGTTTGACACTTTGGCCCAGCTGTTTGTTCTTGTAACAACTCCTGCTGGATTGTTTAGCTCTTTATCTCACCAGTGCTTCACTGTTTGGGTTGTTTTTTTATAATAACTGCTGCCAAATTGTAGGTTTTTCTTGTAATCGGCTGGGGTTGGTCATTGTATATTTCCAGATCAAAACCCAGATTTCCCATTGCAGGACAATATTTAATTAGATAATTTTGTTTTAATCAAACTCATCACTGGAGAAAATTGGAGGATGGCAGTTTATTAAAGACCCGTCTTTCAGATTTTTAAGCTGTGACCTCTGTAACGCCAGACAGGACACCATCTGCTCCTCTGAGAGCTTGTCTGAATGAAGACCGTTATGGTAAACTAGTAGGTAGAATAATAGAAGGGCTCCTATTTATAGAATCTGTAGTTTTCTTTCATTCACTAGATTGCCTTTAATGTAATATTCAGCTCGTCACTAAAGCCTCTCTGCTTCTATGTGAATACTCTGTAAATGAGGGATCCTCATGTTGTTACTTCAAACAGACGGACTGAATTGGATTGCAGATCATTGAATAGAGCACATAAGAGCTAGAAGGATAATGTTGTGCTCAACAAGATATTAATTCCATTTGAATGCATCTAATAAGGCGTCCAGAGATTCTTTGAAGTCTAAAAACATAAATAAATCACAATAAACTCTTTTCCTAGTGGAAACACAAGCACATTGATGTTTTTAACTCAAAGCTCATTACTGCAGAGAAAACTACTTTTGCAATTTGGTCTTTTCACGGTCAGACTAAACAAATGAGTTTAATGAATGATACGTAGAACACAATTCAGATGTGTACAGAAAATAACTCCAGGCAAAATAAAATCTTCCTGCGTAGCTTTTAGAAAAAACTATTTTGTATAATACTCAAGAAACATGTTTTAGATTAGTTTTTCTTTTAGAAGTGTTGTACGGTGTTTGGAGAACCTTGGTACTGTGCAGTCGGTGGAAATCCTCCTTTTTAGCAGTCCCTCTCATAAGCCTACCACACAAACCAATTCATGTGCTAATTTTGATCCGGAAACCCCCTGGAGTCTGTGGCCCTGGCATTTTCTGGAAATGATGACACTGTGGATTTAATTAGTGACTTCAGAAGTGTATGGGTTTCTTAAATACCTATTCTGTAACGCGTGTTGCCAAGAAAAACGTGTGATTGTCTTAGTTGATAAAGATTGGTCCAAAGACGTTGATAACAAATGGATGTGCCATATTTTTATTTCAAGAAAGGGAGAAAATTTGTTACAAAGAGAACTAAAACATGAAATAAATCAACTAAGATCTTATTTTTTTTAAATAAAAGTACAACTGTAGATTGCATTATAACAGCAAATAATATATAATAATACTCAAAAAGTGTGTCTATTGTATTGTTCTGTAAAAACATTAAGGACACTGTCCCCATATCTTCTCATACTTTTCTAGTCACGCAGTCTTTTCTATTCTTTTGACCTGTTCACAACCATTGTGACCATTGGTCCGGGAGATGATTGTTTCCTATATTGCATAACAACTTGATAGAAACAAATATATTAGTTGATTTAAGATTTTGGCCTTGGGCTTTTGCTAGTGTATTGTTCTTTCCTTTACACCGGAGTGCGTGTCTGCTTTATCAGCTGCTTCGTGCATGGTGTTCAAACATTGCATCAGAATCCAAATAGCAGACAAAGTGGGCTTAACGTCTCCATCCTCCACTCAGATTCCTAGACTAGATACTTATTTTGCAGAACACACTGGTATAGATATCTCTATACAACAAGGATTGTATCACACTATGGATTAATTCATGTGTCCTCCTATATGATGAGTAGACTTTCATGATTCATAAAACCTGCCCCTTAGTTGGTTATGCTCCAGTAGAATGACAGAAATGAGAGTGTAATTAACTACTGTTCTGGATCATGAAACATGATCTATATTTAGCACTTTAAGGGGCTATCGATAAACAGACCCCGCCTGTCCCCGCAATCTTGGCCTCATTAAGGCTCAGCTTTATCTTATTTAGTCCGTCTGCCTTTTACAGAACCCTCTGTGAAGGCATCATATGGCTAACCGATGGCTATCGGAAGGAAACATGTACTTTCAATTTGATAGAAGAAGTCTGTTACTTCCTGTTGGCTTATGGTTGGGTCTGTGATGGCTCAGGGGGAAACATAAGAGATGGTCTTCTATGTGATTCAGTTTTTCCTCCTCCCATAGTTTCTGTGCTGTAAAAACATCCATGTTATCTCAAATGGAACGGCCTGTGACGTTTTCTGTCAATTGTTTAAATATCTCCCTTTGTAGTTTGAATCATTAACTGAAGGAGGTTATTTAGAGAGCTGACTGCGGTTTTACTTTCATCCTTTTACTCAATCCTGCTAAATCCTTTTAAGGAATTTGACGGGTTAGAGATGTTTGGTGTTGGCAAAACAATGCTACCAATATCTTTGGTTAAAGCTAACATGTTATACAAGCTTAATATGAACCTATTTACAAGTCAGTAAGCATTCATTGTACACATTTAACAAAGCTAAAATGTGCGAGATATAAGCAAACAGCTGTTTTTTGTTTTAAATCTCTCTCCTAAGGAAACCAAAAGCATCTGTAATTTCCTCTCACAGATGAGAGTGGGCTGTATAAGCAGTCAAGTCTACATTTCGCTGTAGACAATTCACTGTTGTAGTTCTTTACTCTGCAGTCTCATGCACGTGGTAGATGGGCAGCTTGGCGGCACTATAAAAGACCACATAAAGAGTAGAAATTGTTACAGTGTTTAACTAGGTATAAATGTTCTGTAATTTGGATTAGATACTTACACCCAAGTCGCTCCCTACAGCAAGGGACAACAGGCAGTTTCCCTCAGCAGGTGGCCTCTTGTAAGACTGCCATGAATGTGTGTGAATGGGTGAATGCTGACTTTTATATGTAAAATCACTTTGAGGGGTCATAAAGACTGGAACACTGCTTGCAGTCCCTTTGACACTACCATTGCTATGTCTTTCTGCTTCTTTTGATGTACTGCTTGAATGCAACAAATTGCTTATTCTACTCAAATCAAATTAAAGCTACTTGTTTCCAACATTCTTTTATTGCACACATTGAATATCAAACTGAACTCAAGACACCAATACAAAAAACTGAGAGTAAATTACCATTTTAAAATGCGGTCTTCTACTGATCCCCTTTTAGTGACTCAATAACTCTTAATGTCTTTTCATTATTATTTATCATGCTATGACAATACATAAAATGATATATAATGCAGCTCTTTGAAACCCACATTATGAATGTAGATATCAGTTTTGGTGTTAATGTTACAGAACCACCAGGCAAGTTTGAAAATCTTGTTCTTTACACGATGATCCTCGGAATAATGTAATGAAAAGAGGCCAAACTTCAAAACAAAAGTCCTGCATGAACAAAAGCCAAAGGACTTTTTTTTACTCCCGTTTGTATGTTACAACTAGAAGTGTGGCTTGAAGAAGACATACACCACGGCCCACATCGACTGAGTAATGATGCCCCTAACCTTGTCTTGCGCTACAGGACTGGAACACCCAGGTCTCCTCAGTGTCCCTGTATCATTAGCTCAGGCTTTTCACAGTTAAGTGCTTGGTTTAGACGGGATGTGGTGTAGAATTTGGCAGCCCACAGAGAACTAGGTTTCTTTACATTATAAGACTTGTCAGATTTTTTTTAGAGCAGCTGATGTCATGTGGTGCTTGTAATGTGTCATTTGGTGATGTCAGCAGAGGCTTTTAAACACACAGGCCGTGCAGTGTGTGGTTTCATGGTATTTGTTAAAATGAACAAGGTAGAATTTCTTGTTCTTATACAGTGTGTAACTAGCCTCTAGATAACAACATTTGTGGTGTGTAAACAGCTGTGCATGGACAGTTTTTTCCCTCTAAGATGTCTGATGTTGGTGGTTAGTATTGGTTTTTCTGGCATGTAAAGGGGTCATTTGTGTGTTTTTGAAGTGGGGTTGTATGGGGTACTTATCCATAGTGTATTATCTACAGTAGATGGCTGTCGGCATCCACCCAGTTTGGAGAAATAGACAGGAGTACTGCATGAAAGCTAATAAATAAAATGCTTCGGACAGGGCTGGAAAAAATATTTTGTGCACCAAATAATATCAATTGATCAGTTGAAGAACATTTTCACCTCTTTACCCCTCCAGTTGGGGAACTGAAGCTATTTTGCCCATCTTTACTCTTGCCAAAACCACCTGACTTCATTAGAAAAAATCATTTGAACACCATTTTTTTATTTGACCATATGGCCATAGTTTGGTACATTCTAAAAACATGTGGTGGATATATCCATTTGATAACGTAGAATTGCTTTTTAAATGTAAATGCCAGTTGTCCTGGCAACACCTGATCTGTTGATCTTTGCAAATACTGACTCAAACAATGGCTACAGCCCCAGTGTTAGAAAACCCCCCCATGAGCCTTGGATAGTGTTGTTTTGGTATTTATTCATTATTTGGGGATGTTGTTTGAACCGGATGAGGCTGAACCATAGACTGGGCTGAACAGATCCCAGAAAAAGACAGTCTGTTTTCTTCCCAGCTGCTGTCTGCAGCTCTCTGCTACAATCACATTCATTCAAACTCGAGGATTTGCTATAAATAGATTCACTTTCACTTGCCTCAGTAAATCCTTTTAAATACCTCGGCAATGTGTTTATTTTGTTTAGTAGATGTCACTCAAACTGGAGTTACCAATGCAAATAGGCAACTGTTGGAAAACAACACAGATTTATGGCACACAAGAATAAGCCCCTATACATCAGTTTTTATACACAGGCACTTGTTTGAAGGATTAATACATTGTTGGTTCTGCTGTTTTGGGACTCACTGGAATCTGGGCGTGGAAATGCGTGTTCCCACTCTGAGACGTGGTCACTGCTTGGATCCAATAGATATCCAGCAGGAGAACAAATGCCTCCTGAAAACCTTTTCCCAGCTGCCTCGCCCAGTGCAAATATAAGTCTGGCATTCTGGTGATTCATAAATGGGTGAGAGGCATTCACTTGTGGGCAGGAGGGAATCGGCGTGTGTTTTGATGTGGGTTTTTCTCTTTCACGTGCTCCTTCTTTGTAAGCCCTTTTTAAAAAGTAATCTCAAAATGTGCTCCCTTTGTATGTTGATTTTCTTTTGACCTCTTGTCACGGTTATTTCAAAGCATTTTGAATCTTGTCCATCAGGTTTATACCAGAGTCTGACTTTCTTCTTCGTCCTTTTATAATATAGGTTTTTTTTCGTTAGAGAAAAAGGGAAACCATGAAGGAAATGTGGGTCTGGAATGTATTGACCTGGAATGTCAAAACAGTATTAGCTATGCAAGTTGCAATGATAACAATGCTTGGCATGTGCCTGTCAGGAGGCCCACACCCCCTTCTGTCCTCCACATTTAAAGATCAGAGAGTTGGAGATCGCCCTCTGCTCAGGCTGCTAAATCAGATCCAGTCGACCGGGATCGGCCTTCCCCCGGAGTCTAGAGGGGAGCAATGCAGGCATTTCAAACATTCAGTCGATCTATTGTCATATCAGCACAAGTACTTCTCCGGGTATTGATTTCAATGTTTTCTAGTGGCGTGAAGGCACCCAGGACTCGTACAGACACACTTCAACAAGAAAGTGCTGGTATCACAGAACAGCCAAATCTTGGTTATGCACAGTAAAACCTGTTTTGCTAGTCTCATTAAAATACATGGGTGTCAACTGCACCTGCAGCTCTATGTTCCAGCCAACCACTGTAGCACTATGACTCTATACACTTCGCATGTTTGAACTCTTTTATGTGTTGAAAAGCTCCGGGTGCTACTTAAAATGCACTTTGATCCAAACAGTTTATGCCCCTGCCTCTTTCAGAAGCACATGGTTCAAAAGCAGAACAAACTGTGGTGGCTGAGAAGCAGTAAAACACAGTGAAGAGAGTGCATTAAAACATGCTTTGACTCGGTTCACAGCTCCAGGCACACACTTTATTTCTAATGACCCATTGAGTGTGAGGCTGGATGTTTATCCTGTGACATTTCTCAGAGTAATTGGATGGGGGCAATTGTGGTTGTATGTTGGTTTGAACAAACTGTCGCTCATGATTATTTTGTTTAAATGTGGTCTGGCCATTTAATACTCCCCGCAACAGCTGAATCAAGTGGGAGAGCTTTTCAGATTTATACATTTTTAACATTTTACAAACGGGTCAGATAAGTATATTTTGTGTTTTTAGTTGTGCATCTATCACCATTAGACAGTAGTCTTGTAAATCCTTTTGGCTATGTTAACATGCTGGTGATTTACTCTGATTTTCTGACATTTCACTCAACATTTCTGGCCAGGCGGAGATATCGTAAATGCAAGCTCATCAAATTCCTCTCATTGTGGGGGGAAAGTCTATGCTTCATGGGGGGGGGAGGGTTTGTTTGAGACAGGGTGAGGGGAAAATCCTCTTCTAGTGTGGAAATACAAGAGTGTTAGAGCATTTATAGGTGTTCATGAAAGTTGTACTGGAACAGGGAATATGATATGGGGGGACCTGAGTGAGGGGGGGTGTTGCTGCACGCACGATTTTACAAAGGCGTGCGGCTAAAAATAGCCAGTAAACACAGGGGTGGGTGTCCAAAGCCCTGAAGCCTGAAATGCTCTACACTCCAGCTGTGAAAATGGGAGACTGTTGTAAACACTGGGCAGCCTATACCGTTTCTAAACCATGTCCACCTTTGATGATAAAACTCTGTATACATGTGCACAAATAATAACATCGTTATTTGTTGGTATGTGTATATGGGGAATGACTTGTGTATTTGTACTTAAAGGAATTATTTTGGATTTTAGCCTATACGTTTTGCATTATGTACACTTTCATAATTTCTTATTCACTTTTTCAAAACCATTCTCATAGATCCCCTTATCAGTGTGACATTGAAAGTAGGACTACATTTAAATGCCGTCCTCCGTCTTTTTCTATTTGTAGAATGAATCTCCAGATTGGAGGAACTCGGCTGATTCCCCTGCAGCGCAATACTCGACAGACGAGGAGGCGTTCTCGTGGCCGAGACCTAAGACCGTGTGTCTGCGGCGCACCTCCCATGGATTCGGCTTCACCCTGCGTCACTTCATCGTGTACCCACCGGAGTCCACGGTGCATTTTCCGGTACATTTCAGTATTTGTTTGTTATCGTTCCTAGGTTTCGTTCACCTGAGTATTGTTTGCTTATCACATAAGATTACACTGAGTCAACAGAAAGCCTGGAACTTGAATTCTCTGACCGTGAACCACAAAGTCACCTGAGTATTTCTGTGTTTTTACAGGAGGAAGATCATGGCCGCAGAGGTAAGCAGAACACTTGGCTGTTTCACTTCATGCATTCCCTCCAGCTCTGCTGAGTCAGAGCAGTGCCCATAACTTCTAATGACCCTTAATCCATCCACTCTTTGGCTCTTTTTGCTTCCTTGTGCGATTAGAACAATGTAGCTCTGTGTGTCACTGACCTTTGTGAAAGCATGAATGGTTTGGTCAGCACCACCTGCTTCTGTCCTGCACCGACCCACCTCTTCATATTGTTTCACCTTGCTGCTTTTCTCCCCCCATAAAAAGGCTTTCAGAAAGAGATGGCCTCCATGTTGGTGTTCGATCCTCTTTCCCTTGTTATTCTAATAAAGCACTATTTTCTCTCCTCATAAAGGACAAGTCTCACACCAACACCCTGACATAGGTTCATGTTGCTTAGTTTATATAAACAATTACGTACTTTACATCCTGTGTGCAACATATATTTGAATATTAACACATTTTTACAAAAACACAAAGGTCAGATATTTCTTTTAATAAAATATGCAGAATTTTATGTGATTCTTATTTTATTTAAAGAGAATTAATCACAAATCTTTTGCTTCAGGAAAAGACAGATCTAACTAGTTTCGCCTTGGAATACAGAGAGAATATGAAAAGGACATGTTTAGATTTGTATATCTGTGGTTAGAGATGTCCCGATCACGTGATCGGGGATCGGAGCCGATCACGTGATTTTCAAAAGATCGGAATCGAGAGAAAAAAATCGGGGATCAGAAAACATTTTTATTCAATGTTACAGAACAAAAATGACCATGTTCAAGTCTTAAAGTCATCCTGAAGCCTTAGTTTTGGTTTCAAATTACACAACATCATGTATGTGTTGCTTCTTTGGGGCTTGTTTTCATAGACCTGGTGTGCTTATTTCTCTTGGCTGAATCCTTTGTTTGTAAAGTAGAGTATACTGCAGACAATGACACGGCAGTTTAAGTTGTTTTTTATAATTGTGACCTATCTGAGTTAACTGAAGTTTTGATTGTTAGTATAAATAGTGCCCAGTTGTCTTCAGCCAATTAGTCAAACATTTGAAGAATCTGATCCAATGCTGCACAACTGAACTGATCCAATGCTGCTGTGAAAGAAAGAAGCTATATCCATGTTGGATAGAATATCCAATTTAAATAAAAAAATAACCTTAAGGGACAACTTGAATGCTTTTTTTCGTTTTTTTTCTCTTAATGCATTGCATAAAGATCGGATCGGGAAACATCGGTATCGGCAAATTGTCAAAATCAAATGATCGGAATCGTATCGGGAGCAAAAAAAGGTGATCGGGACATCCCTAGCTGTGGTGTTACATTTTGATCCGTGTCATATCAAATAACATCACAATTTGACCCTTTTGAATTTGATCAAAATGATAGAATTTAATTTGAAACCCTTTCTGATGACCAAAAAGGCGATTTTAAACTTGAAAATCGTGTGTACGGTTTTGCATGAAAGGAGGAAAATATGTATTTTACTCGGGCTTCCACAAATAGGACGATATTAGATTAGCAAACCTTTAGATTAGTTTTTATGGGTATTGTCTTTGATTGAGTTAACTGTTACTTTGTGTCCCACCCCAGTGACTTGTTTGTGGACTTAGCTCAGAGCTTAGTCTGTTGCTTTTGGTTGACCTTGAGGAGATTGCTATCCATTTGGACTTCAGTAATTCTATTACACATTTATAATCTTAGGAGGAGGAAATGTACAGAAGAGCACCACTGTGATTCATCTTGAACATGTTGAGGAAGTATTGTATGGACAAATAACCCCTTTTGTTTTCAATACACATGGCAAAACCTGTGTCTACTGCCCTTTTTAGTTTTGAGAAATGTTCACACAAAATGTATTTAGTAAAAGCATCACTAATGTTATTTGCTGACCTAAAAGGTAGAGGCATTCATAATTGATAACTCACACCCTGTAGTGAGTAAAGCTCAGATACTGATGTCACCTGATCGTACGGTAGTCTTTTGAACTCAAACGTGTTTTAACACAGTATCACCCAGCTGTATCTACAGCTGAGTGTTGATAACTGTGTGCTGGAACAGATAATGTGTTGTAGGACATGGAGACCCCGCCCATTAGAAAGCAGAGTGCACATGGTCATCTGCACATGATAGCCAATCCATGTCTGTTTACAGTCCTGTGCTAATGATAATTATAGCTTTCATTCAATTAAAACCCTGAATGGACTGTATATGATGTATGTACACAGTGAATTGTGGAAATGAACACGGATATAAAATCAAAGTTTATATCCAGATATCCAGCAAGGCCATCTCGATGGAGACTGCTCGAAATAGCACTTAAAGCCGCCCATATCCACACGGTTAAATGGTATTGTGGTGTTCCAAATGTGAACTGTTTTTGTGACCCACTTTGTGCTTTTTTTTTTTTTTTCAACAAAAGGGATATTCTGGAAACAACACACGTGGATGCTCATTGTCCAAATGTAAACTTCATGCAACCATACAGGAAAGCCAGATTCATTAAAGCAGTCATGATTTTATCTTACACAAAAACTAAAAAGCTGCAAAAGAACCTTTAGTCTTGAGCTTTGAGACCCGACCTATTAAGCAGGAGAATATTAAATAGTCCTGGGAGTTGCATAATGCTGAACAAAGGGGGTGTCAGGCGAAAAGCCAGAATTGGAAAAAGAAGAAAACCTGGGACGATTTCATTCCAGACTTGGCTTGCTTGGTCACAAAACCATAGAATACAAATGGGCAGAACTAGAGACGTAAATATTTGTTTATTTACAGATGTATTTTTGTTACTTATTGTGCTAATTTCCTGACCTACCTGTTTCTTATAAAGGCGTTGTGCGAACTGTTGCATGAAAGCAGAGAAAGGTTTTTGTAAGATAATGGAATTGGAGCTCAAGAGAGTGCTTTATTGAAACAAAGACCACGAGCATGTGGGACGTTTAGCTAGTATATCAATGTGGACTGATACACATTTCTTTTGATCCTGTATGTTTTGATGTGATGGGTCAGTAAGGTGCAGAGTCAATAGACACACCATTAAACTACTTCCAGGTGACACTTGGGAGTTTTTTTTAATTAACAGCAGGGTGTCAAAAACCAAGAACTCATAGGTATTTGTTGAATCAACAATAATGCCCCAAACCACTTTGTTTGTGGTTGTTAATGTCTAACAGTCTAAACCATTGGGGCAAAATGTAGACTTGACTTTGACCATTGCTTTGCTGAAAAGATAAATGCCATCATTGTGTTTTCTTATTCTGAAGCAATATGTGCCAAAACATTGATTTATGAATAAAACATTGGGTCAGATTTATGAGAGTGGCCCTGTTTTCGCTCCACATACTGGTCTTCAGCACCATCAATTCTCTTATTGTATTAGAGTCTCCTGCTTCTCGAGACAAAGCTCCTCTGTCACAACTCTGGGGTCAAGTTTGGGTGCACTTGTGATCTAATGTTCTCTTGTCAATGCTTCACTCTTTCACATCGAGCAAGGCCGTCTTTCACCTCAATCACGGCTGTAATTTAACCTGCCTTTAGCTGCAAGTGCTCATTGTACCACACAGGCAATGTTCAATTTTGAAGCGGCAAGACCTTTTGATGGATACCTTTTGTTGTGTGCTTGCTATTTTAAGTTAAACCTTTACTCGGCAATCTTTCTGCTGTATTCTTTTTTAAATAGTCTATCAATTTACAACAAATTCGCAATCTCCTGACACTTAAATAAATTATGTTTTAACCAAGCCAACTGACTAAAATAGTCAAAGTAAATGGCAATGTTTTCATGCATTTGAACTAGAGTAACAAAGTTCTAGTTAATTGTAGGTACTGGTTTAGGAGCCAACAGCACTAGTTAGGTGGTGAGTTTGTGTTTGGTGTTTTGGGAGTGCTTCAGAATATAAATAATAACATTATATGCATTGCCCAGAGCAGCCTTGTTAATCAATACATCCTTTTATTTGGACTATAGAGTATCCATTGTATACTTAGCATGCATTAATTGAAAGTTGAAGAATAAATCAATATATGAGCACATGTACTTGGGGCTCCTTATATTATCTCATGTTCTTCAAGGTAGCAGAAGCAGTGACTTGTGTATATGAATATTAACCGTGGCTCATGCAATACTTTATAAAGAGCTCCATTGTGTAGACATTGATGCACTTCTATAGTAAACCACCAGAGGGAGCATGTCTTGCTGCTGTAGCTGTATGGGACTATAAGAATGACATAATGTGAGTCCCCAGGATGTATTTCTGCATGCGTAATCTTGTGTCTGGAAAGTAAAAGATTAGGGGAATAGTGTGTGTGTGTGTGTATGAGATTTTTTAAAGGTTTACAGTTTACTGCTGATTATTATTGATTGATTCATCACTGAGTAATGTCAAGGAAACGGCTTGCTTCTCTCCCCCCGTTTAGCTTTTACATGGCTTGGACACAGATCATGTTCCTCATACATCCAGGAGTTGACACTTAAAATGGTTCACTCTCAACGCTCAATATGAATGATCTCACCAGGATGTTTTAACAACTTTTTAATTGATTTTTTTTAAACCATCACGCCTGTTTTCATGCTGGCCTTCCCCTTTAGTTTGTGAGCCACATTGCGCTGACTCACCAGAATGTTAACTACTGTTGAAGGATTTTAGCGCTTTGGCTGTGCCCAGAGCTATTTCTCAGTTTATAAGGAACGAGTGGGAGTTGTGCAGCTGAGCACACTGTCACTCTACCTTCTCCCAGTCTCTCTTTCTCTCACCCCCTTTCTTTTCTTTCCTTGGTTTTCTTCCCGGCAGCCATGCAGCTGCTAGGAGACAGGAGCAGCGTGAGCAAACAGGTTTCCTTGCTGCTTTCATCCACCTCCCTGAAACCACACCATTTCTCCACTTTGGAGATTTATTTTTCTGTGATCTAATTCATGATCAAGCCTTTTCAGAAACTGTTAGCCCAAACACTGTTCTGCTGTCATCATGTAGATTCACATGCCTCCAGATCTTGTGACAAACCTCCCAGTTTCGCTCTCATGCTCATACACAATCATTTTCTCTTCTCCCCTACATGTCGTGTAACCCCCTACTTGTACTGTTACTGCTCAGTCAGGCTCACATTTGTAGGTTTAGTTTTGGTTGTTTTTCACATTTGAAGTTCAGGACAGTGCTTCTTTTACCAAAATATTGTATTGGTATTTGGCGATTTCCTTTCTTCATTGTTTTAATTGTATAGATTTGTAACTACATCTTAAATATAACAATGCGCTGCTCTTTGCATGGGAAATCTTCGTCTTGTTGACATTTTGTTTACTTTTCTAATTGTATGATTGTATTTGTTTGCACTATATTCTCGTTATGTGATGTATCATAACCTTGTTTTTGTCATCAGGGAGACAACGGAATAGGTTAGAACCAATGGACACCATTTTCGTGAAGCAAGTCAAAGAAGGTGGCCCTGCTCATGGAGCTGGGCTTTGCACAGGTACGTTTTAATGATCAAACCTTCATTAAACAAAACCTTCTAACATTTGATTCCAGGTGCTCCGAAGTCATGTCATTACAAGAAGCCTAATGAAATCCTGTAACTGATGTCATTGAGAGCAGGAATAACTTCCCTATTCCCAGAACTGACGTTTAGAGCGTAATAAGAAAAGGGAACAAAAAAATGCAAGTAGTGCAGTTTGTAGTAGTTGCCTTACAGTGCTCTGCTGTAAAGCAATTAGAGATGCCAGTGATTATTCGAATATTCGTTACAGTCTCCATAATCGAATATTATTTTTAAAAATCGATTTTATTTATATATATTTTTAAATTATTTTTTTTCTGGCTTAGTTTCAACCAAAATATATTCTAATGCTAATAATAGTATTAATAATTGTAAATGGCCATTGGTCACACCACCAGTTTGTTTTACTGTAAACTTGGAGGAAGCCTGCGTGCAGAGCAGACTGCTTCTGCAGCACGCTACACACCACAGTTTCTGGCAACCCTAAAAGCAATACAGGCCATGGAGTTATAGGAAAGTGCTTTTTTGTGCTTCTCGATTAGGTATACCCCAATAATTTATGTTTAAGTGGACACTGGGAACATGGTAACTGTAGACGCCAACGTCAGGTGACAGCTCTCAATCTATACTACACCTCTCTGTTACTAATAGCCTTACCACTGTTTTTGATATTTTTAAAAACATCTATTAGGTGATCGATTAGTGAAGGTGAATGGAGCAAGCATCATTGGGAAGGCTTATTGTGAGGTTATATCCTTGATCCAAGACAGGTGAGTTTTCAAATAAATTAGTGTGAATGATTCTGCTTACTCTGTGCATTTTCTGTTCTAAATCTCTTTGTGTTCCCCAACAGTGGTGACTTTCTTGAACTTTGTGTGATGCCAAAAGATGAGGATATACTTCAACTGGTAAGTTTCTCAAACATATTTTCAAAGTGGGATACAAAAAATGAATATGGGTTGTTTTTAACAGAAATTACTCACTGTTTGTCCAGTCCCACAATCATTTCTGTGGGAAGCGGTGGCTGTGAGGTCGTGTGGTAGATGTGTCCTTGGAAAAGATGCTTAGCCCCATGTTGCTCCCGATGGCATGGCCAACGGTGTGTGAATGAGTGTGGATGTTAGCTTACTTGAGCAAACGGCACTGCTCTGTATGAATGAGGTGTGAATGGGTGAATGATGACTTGTAGAATATAAAGCGCTTTGAGGGCTCGTAAAGACTGGATAAAGCGCTATATCAATACAGTCCATTCACCATCGCACATAGCTGCTCTAGTTTAAGGAGTTCGTTTTGGGACAAGAGTCATGAGATGCAGACAGCTTGCATATCCCATGCCATAAGTTTTCTATCTAGGCCTCCTAATCAGGCCAAACTAAGCTGCCTGTCTGTGAAACTCCTCCTGAATGTCCCAGTGAAATGGCCTAATTTGACTTGTGCAAAAGACACAAAGGTAAAAATGTATTTAGCTAAAAATCAATCGTCTTCAAATAGAAAAGACAAACATGAAACAGCTGAGTTGTAAAAAAAGTTGTTGAGCTTATTTCTCTGTCTGCATTCGTAAGTATTCAACACACTCAGACGAAATGGACCAGCGTCACACATATTGGGCTACATGTGACAGCCTCAGTGGTAGCAAGAACATTTGTCAGATTTCTTTTGTCATTGACTTATACATAAGTGTTATTTTGGGTGATGTGAGTCCGATTGATGTAGACATGGGATGGGCAACTTGGATGGTGGTGGGGGCCACATAATGTATGTACTGGCCACCAGGGGGCCGCAGATTCACTTGGAACACACACACACACACACACACACACACACACACACACACACACACACACACACAAACTTCCAAGTGTTGTATGTAATTATTAACAAATATACTAAGTCTGACATTTTCATTGACATTTTTCAATCTTTCAGGGAACATTCTCTAATAAGCTCACTAAACAAATATCATTTCACAGACATTTAATTGTATTTTTTACAAGTGGCATGGTTGTATTGAACAGGTTATTTAACAGTGGAATAAAACTATTTTAAACTATTGGAAAGCACGGAAAGTGTGTGTGCATTAAGATTAACCATTAAGATGACATAAACATGAAGTCATGAACACTAACCCAGACATTAGTTGTCTAACTTGAACCTAGCTAAGACACTTGTAGCCTGTCTCTGCATCAACACAGACACCTGTCAACCCGCACTCTGCTGTTCCTCAGCGCCGCTCCCCCTCCCTCCCGCTGACATTATGAATGAAAAGCGTATAGTAATCATAGATAACACGGCAGGGTCCGTGACAGTTTATTTTCATCTGATTTCAAATAAACAAAGTCTTGGTTTTTAGAATGTTAAACTCGTTTTGCCAAATTCAGATGATAAATACAACTTTTAAGCTTGTAAAGGCATAATTACAAGCGGTAACTTAATGTCACAGCAGGCATAACAACAGCCGGTGTTTCTTGTGAGGGTTTCCCCGGGAAACAAACACAATACACACAAACGCCTCACAGATTATTTTGCGGTATTTGGCTGCCGAATGAAATCATGTACGCAGCTCGCGACGTAACTAGGAGTCTAGTGGACGGTATCAGTACTACAAGTAAAATCCATTTGCCCATCCCTGATGTAGACCATCAACCACTGTGTAGGACCTCCTTAACCATACCTCATTTAATAGAAACCAAACAATGAAATAGTTGTGCAACACACATCATGTTTTACTTTGAACTCATCAGGTGACCTATACCGACATGCTCTTTCGATGATGAATGCTCTATTAATGCTTCCTTTCCCCAGAAGCAGTTTACTAATACAGTTGCTGCTTGTAACACATCAGAGTAGATCATTTATGTAAAGTCGAAATGACTCAACACAACAGCTCAAAATAGCTTCAGATGTGCCCATAAAAAGCAGAATGCAAAATGGCTAAGCTTAAGACTATTGAACATATCCATCACTTAGAAGTAGAAAGGAAACATAGTAAAACAAGAAAAAGGTTTTGAAAATGTGTATTATTAATGTTATTACATGTTTTATTAATGTATTTGGTGGCTGTCACTTCTTACATATAAGTTGTGTATTTTCATCAATTCAGGCAGAGATTGTTATGTTGATTTTCATTCCAATTTCACTACATTAAAGTATTTCAGTCAATAATGCAGTAGCGTAATGGAGCAGTGTTTTGATTTTTTATAAAAAAACATAATATAGGTAGATATACGTTTTATATTGTATGAATTGTCCTACTACGAAAGGCAATAATAATAGCTGTTTGGAATCTATAATCCTATTAGGGTTCACATCCTCTTCATTTGTCCTAACAGAGCACTAACTAAAACAGTTTGACAATTTTGTTTTCAAAACAGTTTGGATGCCCATCAAATGTTTGCAGTGCAGAGATGAGCCCTCACTTCAGATCATTAACCATTTATGCATGCTGCAAGCTGCTGTTAGCATTCTGCCCATTCAGTATAGAGGAGATGCATTCATCTGTACCATATCTATAGCAAATACCCAAAGTGCTTTGTCAGGATGCTCCGGAATCTTCTCCCAGGGGCTCATTGTGATCTGACAGCCTCTTTAGGAATCATCTAATGAAAGAGCCTCACTGTTTGCTCTACCTGAAGTCTTCCCTTGTGGATACTTATATGTCCAGATTGAATCAACATTACTAAATTGATGGGTATAGGTCAATTAATCATTTAGAAGAATGCTATATATATATATATATATTATATTACTTTTAGTTACATCTATCATTAGTGATGTAAACATGTAATATTGTTCACATCTATTATCAGTTTTTTTTTGTTTCTTTAGACAATTGAGGGTTACTCCACCCCTTCCCTGTTAGTTCCTCCTTCTCTTGCCATTTTCCCCTCTGTACCCATTCGCTCAGACCACTGTGTCCTAAACGTGCGTTGTTAAAACACTGGCCACAGAATTGCGCCTTAAATGGCCAGCAGCCACACAAAAGAATATGAATATGCCGATGACGGTTGTCCATAAGAGCAAGAGGATTATGAGAGATGCTAGCAGGGTGACGTTTCACTGTGGGAGGCAGCACACTCTTACTGCTTGGAGACAGGCAGTAGTTGCTTAGCAAAGAGAGGGAGAGCGAGTACATCCAGGGAGCAAAAAAAGGGAGGGAACTGAATGCCGGTAAAGCAGAGGAAATACTGAGCAGGGAAAAAAAATGGAACAGCATGAATGATGAGCTGAAAGCAGTAGATGAAATCAGCTGACTGCTCTGTGTTTAGAACAGGTTGATGCTAAGGGGAAAGGAGGGAGTAGGAAGGAGTGGGAGCGGGGGCCGTACCATCACAACTGAATGTATAATCAGCAGCTGCTGCTTCTGTCATGTGAGCAATAGCAGAGGGAGGGAGGGAGGGAGAGACTGGAGGCACCTTGTTCAGTTAGCGTAATATTCTGGCTGAAGATGGATAGAACCATGGAGACTTAACAGCAGCATGAGAGGCGAGCTTCTGCTCCTGCCACCTCATCCAGGACAGACTGGCACAGGCAGGTCGTAACGCCTCAGCTACATCTCTGCTTCTTCATCCCTCTGTACTGCTGCTGCAGCTCCAGTATAATTTTAGCTTGTCAAGCCCTGTCATTGCTGTGGCTGTTTTCTCTTAAATAATGTGTGTTTTTTTGCTCTGCTGGCATCTTCTTCTCTCACTTGATTTCTTGACACTCTCATTTTAACATGCTGTAACGACAGCCTTTTTCTCTGGAAACTACTAATCTGGTAAGCAAACGGAACACTGGGTATCCACTTGACGTTCACATGTTGTGCTTGATGCATCGTTGTAAATTTGTCATGCATGTCGGCATCGTCATTACATGATGTGTTTTCAGTTTTCTTCCATTATTTCTGTTGTGTTGCCGTGTTTGGTCAGCTGGTGATTCAGATGTGTAGAAATGGCTGATGCACTGTGCCTGCAGTACCTGTTAGATTGGGAACTCGAGTTGGCACCAAGCTGGCATTTTAGTGAAGCCTCGCCCGTTCTTCATCCTCCATGCCAGTTGTTATTAGTGTGATAAATGCCAGCGACCTCTGAACTTTGTTGCTTACTAAGGGAGGAACAGAGCCTGGCACTGATTGCTGTGGTACACACACAGCTTTATGTAAGATTGTAATATGACACCAGGTAGCAAGATCAAAGTCCTCCTACCTTTTACACGTCTTTTTCCTTGTTGTATTTGCAGTAGGTTACAAGTAGCGGACAAATGTATGGAGGCTAAACAGCCCATTGAACGGTTTGATTGTATATTTATGGAAAAGGATTTTAGTAGTATCTGTAGTAAAATAGTGAAGGCTTCCATTCCGTGAAGGATAATCAGGCAGGCTAAATATAGCACATATTCTATGAGGGATGGCGACCTCCTGTCTGTCTGAGCTTACAGTCCGTCAGTCTAAGGTGGGAGAATGAAGACACCTGTTATCATGTAGGGCATTCTTTAATGTACATTTTTTGTCATGTCTGTTAAAATATGTGGAGTGTTAGCTATTTGATTGTCTTTTCTAACATGTATTGATTGTTACACAATCTTTGCTGAAAATGTCAGTACAGGCTTAATATTGAACTCGTTACCTATTATACCAATATACATCTATCTTATGATGTTTTGAGCTATACAAGGTTTTCATTTCTTCCACTAGCACTAGCACTCTAAATAAGGAGCAGATGAAGACCACTGACACCCCTGAACTGCTAACGCCTCCACTCACTCTTACTGCAACATGCACTGCCCACACACATGCATCCAGTCGCATTTGTAATATCACACTTGACTTCTCTGTAAGCATCTAGTAGCACACTGTTGAATATTACACACACTTGCAAATGCAGCTTGTACTGTACCTATTGTAACACTGCTTTGTCGCTCTGTCTCTAGGCCTACTCCCAGGATGCCTACATCCGTGGACGCAGCAGCTACAGTGGAAATGCCTGTCACATTCCTGACCCACCCCTAGTATGCTACCCCAGAGTAGACTGTAAGCCTACGGGCATGGCCCAGGCAACAGACTCAGCAGGGCAGGTCTGCCGAGGGCCAATAGCACCCACGGACCATGGGTACCGCAAGGAGATCACCGTGCCCCCATCTCCTCCTCCTCAATCGTACCCAAAAAGCCAGATGGCAGTGTGCATGCGCAATGACAGCGTGAGAACTGTGGTGGTTCCTCCTGAAGCAGCCCAAATGGGGCGCATGGGTCCAGCAAGTAGGATAGATTATATGGACCCTGTCTTTGTCAGGGGTAGGCCTGGGTCACTGGCCCAGTATTCTCACCCTCGAAAGGCTGATGTCTATCCCAGTGGTCCAGTAATGGTTCAATATGGAGGTCATGCACCTCACTACCCAGGCAACAATCAAAACATTGATTGGCGCACATACCAAACGTACAGGGAGTACATTGACAACAAAGGAATCCATTCCCATGCTAGTCGGACTATCCAGGAGAGGCTCGACAATTTGCGAGCATCCGGTCAGGCCACCTTTGGCCCTACTCATCACATTCCCCGGGGGGACTGGGTCCCTAAAGAGATACGGCGGAGGAGTACCTCCCATGAACGCTCATACCAAGGACCTCCACCCCATTTTCATGTGGCCCCACGCAGTGCTTCCCAGGACCGCATGAGCAGTGCAGAGAGAATGGGCAATACCAGGAACTGGCCACCTCGAAGCGTTTCCCAAGATGGCCTTATGCACAAAGCCCGGGCACGCTCAACAGACTATGTTGACCCGGCAGAGCTGGTTCGGCCCAATGAGAGGAGAGCAGGATACGGAAGGGGGGACCAAGGTACGAGGCCAAGCAGACAGTCTATCCCCAGACAAGCCATGCTCTACAGGCCTTCTGCTGGATACAGCGGTGTCATGCGGGGGCCACATAACCCTTCTGTCTACTCTAAAGGACCAGATTCTCTTCAGACGAGATCTTCACCCATGCTCTCAGAAAGAAACTCACATTTTGGAAAAAGCACCAGTGTTGAACATTCTCTTGTTGACCAAAGAGTTGCAGTCAAAGGAAATCATTGCGCCCACCCAACCCAACGAGGCCTGAGTAGGATCGGGGCTGATATGATGCAGGCAGTTGAGGCTGGCAGAGACGCAGCATTAGTCGGACAAAGGTCTTCTTCATGTTCCACACCAAAACAGATGCGTCAGAGACCTAGCATCCTCAAGCCACCCCACCCAGACTCCCAGAGCCAGGTCAACGGGCGGAGCCCCACAGACACTGGCGTCGTCCTAAGGGAGAAACCTCCGGCTGGAAAGAACCCCAGCCCTCTGCGGCACCCCTCCTACATCCTGGCTGTAAACGACGACGGACCAGACTCCACAGCAGATGTGGCGGCATGCTGGCTTCCAAACGATGCACGTCGAGAGTTGCGGATGCGCCGCCTCGAGGAACAGTGCCACACCTCCTGCTCCAGCAACCTGGATGAGTCTCTGGACTCCATTCCATTCATCGGTAAGAGAGCAATCATTTGAAAGCCTTGCCGCCCAAAGTTGTCATGGCAACAGCAGAAATCCATAGTAACTTGTGGAAGACTGACAGTGTTGATACTGTAGCTAGATTAAAGGGCTTCACCATAGATGCTAGGCTAATAGAAACCAGTTTAAAAGAGATGGAGGAAATACTGACTCAGGAGACTGTAGACGGCTATAGTTTCATTGTTAATCTGATAGTGTCTTTTAGTGTGTGTCTTTACAGTGATGGACAGATGTTATATATAAATGCATCCATGTGGGAAGATGTTATTATGAATCAGGTTTGTGGCATTCAGAGAGGTTTTGTGGGATCAGCTTAACAGGCGCCGAATGAAGGATGACTTAAGCCTTTTGGAAAATATTGAATTTCTCCTCTTAATATATTGTTTTCTTGGATGGACTTTCTCTTCAGAATGGATTACTTTATGGTTCAGTGCTCCATAATGGATTTGTCGGGTGATTTAAATAGATGTCATCAACAGAAGTGAGCTGATGATGTTTTACCTCATACCCTTTCCAGAGGTTATCAAATAATTTACTTTAATATGCTTTGCATCAGGTTTTGGTAGTGGTGCCAGACATTTCTAAATCTAGTTTGAATTTTACAGCCAAGGTTTTTCAGTGAATGATTCTTGTTTTAGGGAATCTGGTGTAATCAGTTCAGCTGTCAGAAAAATACATAATTTATAGGAACTCTCCGCATGTTTATATTTGTGCCTTGATGAGAATAAAGCTACAATTACAATGCTGCTGGCAAGCCTGAGTGGTGTAAAGTTGGAAAATGTTGAAGAAAATATGTGTGTGGATACTTATTTTCTCTGTTTGACTTTCTCCATCTGTCTTTTTTTATGTAATATGCATTGTGTATATTTGGCTGTCCGTCTGTCGGTCATCCATTTAATCAAAGGTAATCATTGATTTTTCTTAGGTCTTTGTGTTACTTGAAAGTAACAAAATAAAAGACCCAAGTCAGCATTTGGTTGGTGGCTTTCAACGTCTGCTCCACCTATATTTTGAAAGAACATAAAGGAAACATTTTGTTCTAAGCAGGTGCACTGTATGGAGGAACTAGGCCACAGGCAGCGACAGCACTGCAAGGTGTTAGTTTGACCCCTGGGAAAAGAGTTCTGCGTTACAATTGGGTCTTTTGAAGCCATTCAGGGAAAAAAGAATCTAAAATATGTCGCAAAATAAGTTTTACTGAAAAAGTAGTTCCCTTGGGGTTCTACTGAAGCCCTCTTTCCCACTGGAGATACAAATAAAAAAATAAAAACACAAACACTTATCTTCTGGCTTTTGACTTTAGTGGAGAAACTTACAAACATCAACTCCAAGGACAAATTACTCGGCAGTAATCACACACATCTATGGTTTCAGCTCTGACATACATTTATATAGGTAAAATCTATTAGGATTGTTATTATTTATTTACAAAACATACAATTAAATGCTCTTTCAAAGATACCAGACTATATTGACAAAAACTGAAATTGACTTCATTATTGTTCGAAACCCAACGAGGCCTGAGTAGGAGAAGTCCGTGAAGTTGAACGTGACACACCAGAAGAAAACGGAATGGCATACTACTCTGGCACTGGGAAAAGAGTCAATTCCCATTCTATATCCCCCTCGTTCAAAAGAAAACCTGCATATGCGCACTCATTTTGGTATGAACAAGGGTATTGTTTATTGTCCACGCCATTTATTTAGATAAGGATGGGCGGGAGGAATTCCTTCAGTACGTAGTTATCAATGAGGTCTCTAAACTTTAAGGCTTAGCAACAGTGTCTGGCTGTTCCTTCAGCGGTCCCTATAACGTTGGTTGGCCAGGTGCAGGTACAGACAAAGCAGGCAGTGACAGTGATGATGCCGCAACACCGCTGGGACTGGTGCCCCAGCCCAGCAGAACACTGCCCTGATTGTGTAAGCGTCTGGGCCTCCATCAATGCCCTGTTTCAAAGCCCTCTGGGTGGTTATCAGCCCAATAGCCCAATCCATCATAGGCAGGTCATATATATTTTACCTTCTTTGGATGACAATGGCTGGTATGATGGAAGCAAGGTTGATCCTTTAATTGTCAGTTTAATCGTTTTTTAGCCATGCAGCCTGATTTTGGATATACGTTTTAACACCTTTAATTATCCAAACAAAAGACGCTCCGTGGAGTTGCCGATAAAACCGTCTTTACTCGGGTGTTGCTATAGCAAGCTGCTTAGTGTAGGCCTGTCAGCAGAGAGAGCATTAAACCTGAAAGGACCCAATTGGTTAGTTTCGCTGCATTTTGCCTCTGCAAGCTATCTGCATGCATTGGAGTCCTAAAGGTTTGTTGTATAGTCTTTGATGTCTGCGAGGTATGGCAGAATGGAGTGGTCATCGTATCTTTCGTAGAGAGTAGATAAACATGAAAGACTTGTCAGGTACTTAATGATGTGTATTAGTGATGGGCAGATGTTTATTAAGATCGCCTATCTGGCCTTGTTTGTAAGATGGTGACATCCTTTTTCCCATGCCCCGTTTCAGAGTTGGGAACACTCTGGAACTAGGACAGTTGCTTTTAAATGTAGCTCCAAAAACCCCTCCGCTGCAGAGAGCAGTTACAGGCTGGAAGTGCCAGGAGTGGGCAGTACTCAAGTGTTAAGAACTTTCTATCCCCGGAAGAAACTTGTCAGAAGATGATCCATTCTGATTCTCAGCTTTGGTGTGGCACGTTATCGACGGGAGTCACAGGAACACTGTTTTACATCTTTCCTAGATCCCACAGATGGTGTTTAGCAACGTTTTATGTGGATGTTAGGGACACATATTAAGAGCAGTAAAAAGGGTAGTTGCTTGTGCCACTACATCTAAATCTAGTCTCTGTGCTTACTCTGAATATTTGTTATTATTATTGTAGATGAGCCAATCAGCCCCAGTGTGGACCGGGAGGCCGCTCCCATTCCACCCTCCGCTGTGATATCTGTTGCACAATCCATAACTACAGGCCCCTCTTCTCCAGACTCACCATGCCCTCCTATTCGCCGACAGCTGTCACATGACCAAGGTAAACAGATTGGGTTGGTTTATTTCAATCAAGGCTTTGCTTTACAGAATGCCTTGTTGGAAAAGGAAATGACTGAGATTTAAGATTCATTTTTTTCCATGAATTTATCTTAGTGAAAACAATCTTTTCTAACTTTGTTTTTTTAACGTTTATATAACATGAATAACGATTGAAACATTTTCTCATTAACTTTAACCAATAACAATTACATTTGCTTTTTACATATAACTAGTTACTTCTCAATACTGGTTAAAATAAATATTGACATGTGTTGTTTTTTTTGACTGTATAGAGTCCCTGAGAAGTGCTTTACTGGAGTCTGATACAGCCAGTAAAACAGAGCGGTCCAAATCCTACGATGAGGGTCTGGACACCTACCAGGACGAGGGCAGAAGGTCAGTGCATACTAGGATTAGGCCATTGCTCGCATTTTATTCTCATTTTATTGGATCTGTCTGACCTTGTCTCTGACTTGAATTCTGAATGTTTCTGTTACTTTTTTAGGAGATCTTCCAGTAAGAATATGCCAAGTTTTAGGGGCCTGAGGAAGGTAACCAACTATTTTATTTCTCACAGCACGCTAGATTTTATGTCATTATGCATTCGATTTTTCATTATTTGGTCAGAATTGTCATTGAAATGCACCTGAAATGTCCAGCTTGCTTGCAGTCTATAAAAGCATTTGCAAATTAAAATGGAAACTGTAATTTTCTTCAAACATTTAAACTTGGAACTCATGACATTTTAACAAATGTATATTTTACTGTAAAAATGTGTCAACATATGGAATTTGTTGCTAAATATATCAGCCCTTTTTATGTTCTCATTCATTTAAAGAAGTGCGTTAATCTCCTGGATTTAGTGTCCCCCTCTCAGTTTACCCTCTCTGGCTTCCTTGGGAAGATTTTTGAGACAAAGATGTTTAAATGTGTTATTTATAAGCATGTCCCGTTGACCATGTAACTTTGACTTCCCAAGTTTAATTAGCCTAGAATTTCTTAAAGCCTCAAGTCTTCCTCTCTCACTCCCCCAATGTTTTATGTCACACTGAACTGTCTACCAATAAGGAGTAAAACGCGTCATTAATCCACGCTTTCAGGCTCTGGACGGTAATAAATCTTCTGATTCTGGATCTCGAAGGGATTCGTCCGCTGATATCTTTGTTGATTCCACAAGAGAAGGGTTCCTCAATTTCAGGCAACTTAGTACAGATAAAAATAAGGTATGCCTTTTATACACCTGCCTTCATTTATCAGCAATATATTACTCATGTTTTGTTTTGTGTTTTGCAACGTGTAAGTATTTCTCTCTTGTCTCCGTGCCTCTGCAGCGTGTTGGTGGAGGAATGAGATCATGGAAGCCGATGTATGGTGTTTTGAAAGGTTACATCCTAACCCTCTACAAGGACAGGAAGGATGCACAGTCTCATGCTTCGACGCCATCGGACGAGGAACCACTGCGAATCAGCATCAAGGCCTGTCTGATTGACATCTCCTACAGCGACACACGACGCAAGAATGTGCTGCGACTCACCACCTCGGACTGCGAGTATTTGTTCCAGGCAGAGGGAAGAGACGACATGCTGCACTGGATCAGAGTCATTCAGGAAAACAGTAACCCCGATGAAGAGGTGCGTTCTAGCAAGGAAACACGTTTACAACCACATGATGATCGCTCATAGTATCACCTCCAGCTAAAATGATGGAAGTCTTGAGAAATGTAAACCCTATAGGCAAGATATTCATCCTCTCAGAAAGTGAAATGTGCTCAGGGCACTGCATGGCACTTGTTGTTTAGAGTTACATGAACAAAACAAGGAACCAGACTACACTGTAGTTTTGTAGAAATTCCAGGGGCACCAATCACTTTGCAATAAAGTGTAATTAGAAACTTACTTACTTACAAATACAGGTAGCTTTGCTTGTGGTGTGAGGGAAACATTTCAGACTGAGCCAAGCAGTAAGCTGCTTTTCAGCCAGACCTCATTTACTGAAAACTCCTGAAAAGAATTCATTTATCTGAGAAGGAGGTCTTAGAGCACATGGAAGCAAGGGAGAATCAAATGTACATATTGCAGTACTTGTTGTAGTAAACAATGCACTTTATCAGCATTGCCCTTTCCCCCCCCCACTGATCTCAACATTAAATCCATTCATAATGTGGAATGTTTATATAAAGACTCCTGATAAAATGTCTGTATCCAATCATGTTATAAAATGACATTCAAGGCCTTCTATAGACAATGACTTTGTTGGATTAACAAGGAATATCAAGTAATTAACAATTGTTTACTGATATTAAAAGTAAATTGAACTGTTTTTAATCTAGAATAAACAGTTTTAAAAGTGTACTTTATATGACGACTGTCCCTAATGTTTGTCTGCTGTCTTTACAGAATGCTGCTGTAACAAGTCAGGACCTGATCAGTCGAAAGATCAAAGAATACAACATGATGAGGTATGCAGGACGCCACATCTCCAGCACATATCTACCCGTTTTAATAGTGTGCCTAACCTAATGTAATATGTCTGTATGTTCTTTGTTGCTATCTTTCTGTATCAGTACGCCCAGCAGCAGATCTGAACCTTCTCCAAAATCCTCCCGCCAGTCCCTGAGTATCAAACAAGCCTTCCTGGGGGGTAAAGAAGGCAAGAGCCACAGCCCTCATTCGCCTAGAACAGGAGACGATCGAAGGGCGCTGAAAGGTAAACACACCAGCTCTATTTAGTGTGCTTAGAGGGCATTTCTAATGACAGGTGGCTCATTTATTTAGTTATGTGCATATATTTTTCTTTGCTCTGTCAGAAGACTCCAGTCCAACACGGGACAGGGCTGCTTGGAAAATTGGCATTGCAGGAATCATGAGGAAACCCTTTGAAAAGAAGACTCCAGCTGGGGTCACGTTTGGGGTGCGGCTTGATGACTGTCCAGCTGCACTTTCGAACAGGGTGGGTCTCATCCTCTCTCCATGGATTGGAATAGAAAATGCTCCTGTAGTTTAGCATTCAGGGGTTGTTTATAGCATCTTGCTTTCATGCACATAGGCCTGTCACAAAGACTGTTAGACAATTTGTATGACATCCATGGACACGACCTCAATCATTTCTGCAGACGTCAATATTGAACGTTGTGTTTACTTTCTTGTTGGTTTACATAAGAATCCCACCATGATGCCAGAATAAACAACAAGGCTTTCCCCTAACATTATTTGACATTGCGTAGACTAAGGGCGCATTCACACCTAATAGTCCGCTTCTCTGGTGCGCACCAGACCACAGTTTGTTACGTTGTTTCATTTTTCAGAAGGTTCGGTTTGCGTTCACACGGGCAAAACTCAAACGGACTATAAACTTTAAACACAAGTCATGTGCACGGAAATGCTGTTCAACCATTGGTCAGACATTAAGGGGGTAAAAACGCAAATCCCGGCAATTTCTAGCGGAGCCTCCGCCATGGAGCATCGGCAGGTTATTCTCATGCTGCTGTTAATCTGGAGATCAACAGACACTAGCGGCCCGCGCATATGATTATATAATCAGACAACGTCCGTTAAAAAACATTATAACACATATAATGAGAGACGTTCTGCAGTAAGGAGGGGCGTTTCACCGACGAAGGATGTTCTTACTTTTATGTAGTTGACGGAGCATTTTTACTTCACACAACACTGTTCAACACTTCATTCTGCTTCACTCTTTAACTAAACAACCACGGATGTCTTGAAAGACTCTTTCGCTAAAGATTTTTGAAGACATCCACGTTCTTGTGACGTAAATACTACGCTTCCTATCTTTTGGTGCGGACTGCGTTCACACCAGCAATGAACCGCTCCAGAGTTCGCAAGCAAGCGCTCCGAGACCACCTATTTTAGCGGACCAGAGTCCGGTTGTTTAGTTCACTTAAGAGGTCTCGGACTGTGTTCACACCGACCCAAATGAACCGCACCAAGCGGCTAAACGCACCAGGGTTCGATTCAACCGGACTATAAAACGCTGGTGTGAATGCACCCCAGAGCGTTTTTGTCAACAGAACCTGAGAGTCCATGTCATTTATTCTTTTGGTTTTGTGTTTCATTTTTTATTTTATTGATGTGGTTTTTATTTAGGATATTAAAAAAAAAAAATGTTACTCCCATTCTAGTGTCTAAATAATCTTTTAAATGCAATAAAACTATTAACATGACAGACCTACAAAAACATAAAATATTGATTTTTCTATCAAGCCGAAGTGGTAGCTAAAATTGGTTGCCTGTCAAAGACAATAATGTGTCTATGTAATGTGTATGACACATGAATGCATGCATACAGGCTTTTATTCAATGTTCAGATTCAACATATTTGTGATTTGTCGTATCTAACGTCTTCCTGTTGTGCAGTTTGTTCCTCTGATCGTGGAGGTGTGCTGTAACGTGGTGGAGGAGAGAGGTCTGGAGTACACAGGGATCTACAGAGTGCCTGGGAACAACGCTGCCATCTCCAGCATGCAGGAGGAGCTCAACAGCAAAGGCATGAACGACATTGACGTCCAGGAAGACGTGAGTGACTGACAGTCGGGCTGCGCAGTACAGTGTTCCACTTTACTGACAACATCCATTAGCAGTGACAGATCTGTACTGTAAGCTTTGGCTTAACCCTCTCTCCATCTTTCGCTTTTCTGCAGAAATGGCGGGACCTCAATGTCATCAGTAGTTTACTTAAGTCCTTTTTCCGGAAACTTCCAGAACCTATGTTTACAAATGGTGAGATTCTGTAAATACACTGACCGTGACCAAGAAATGACAAACAAAAACTTTAATATTGTTGAATATTCTGTCTGATTCCTCTGTGTTCAAATCAAAGTAACGGTTTTTCTGCTTTATTCACAGAAAAGTATGGAGATTTTATTGAAGCCAACAGAACAGAAGAGACAGTGGAGAGATTAAAGGAGCTCAAGAGGCTGGTTAGTGAAACATCTGAAATGAGATGCATTCACTTCAATTGCATTACATTACATACTATGCATATCATTAATCACAAAACTGCTTCCCTTTTTTAATTCTTGCAGATACAAGAATTACCTGATCATCACTATGAAACTCTGAAATACCTTTGTGCTCACCTCAGGAAGGTTTCTGACAACTGTGAAATGAACAAGGTACGGCAGTTAACAGGATCTGTCAGTGTTAATGTCATTAGGTAACATCCTCCAATCCTTCCTCAATCCAGTGTCCTTTAGAGGATTATTTAATTAAACCTGACTGGCCCCGGAACCTTTCTATCTTGCTCTGTACAAGCCTGTAATAAGAACATAGTGGCAATAAAAGCACTTTAACTTTTACCTTTGAATGTGTCCTTTCCTCATCTGTTTAGATGGAGCCTCGTAACTTGGCGATAGTGTTTGGTCCTACGCTGGTCAGGACGTCTGAGGACAACATGACCAACATGGTCAATCACATGCCGGACCAGTGCAAGATAGTTGAGAACCTCATCCAGCAGTACGAGTGGTTCTTCACTGACGACGGGGACGAGGACCCTGTGGTCAGTGGCAACAAATGTTTTCCTTCTTCTTCCTTTGTTGTGATTTTATCATAGATAAAAATCGACTGTCATATACAAACCTACTATTTCTGTTCATGCTTATGGCAGTTTTATTTTAAGACAAGTTGTCATGGTTATTTATTTACAAGAGAAATTTGCATTGCCCCTTTTCACATTTTTAAATGAAATGCTTTCACTTGAATATGCTTTATTGCTGTTAATGTATACATCTTAAATTAAAATGAGACGGCTGCTAAACCACATTCATTTGAAAAGAAGCAAATCAAATAAATACAATAGTACAAAAACGTTTTGCAAAACATCTTGGTCGCCCCCTGGTGGCTGGATGTAAGTTCAGCACTTGATTTGATATGCAGCCGAGCATCAATACCACAGTCGGTCATTTAATTGTGGGAAGCCAAAAGATGAGATTGGAATTAATATTTTATTTAGTGCAGCACTATATTGCTGTTTCAAGCTGAACTAATCAATATGTTTGTATTAGCAGTGTCTCAAATGACTTTGTTGGTGGAGAACAGAACCAAGCTACTCCAATTTATGAATCCTTTCAGCCAGACAATCGATGCCGCTTTAGATACAATTAACTTGTGCATGTATTTGAGTGTTTTATTCAATCACTCACCCTCTCTCTGCTCTCTCTCCTCCTCTGGTTCCCACCTGGGTCTCTGTCTCCAGACCACAGCTGAGCAGGAGAGCACGGTGCAGTCTCAGCCCGTGCCCAACATCGACCACCTGCTCTGTAACATCGGCCGCACGTCAGCGTCACCGGGCGAAGTCTCGGGTGAGTCTCTGAGGGTTTTCTCTCAGGAGCACGGTCCAGCACCACCACAGCAAAAATATTATATTAACAGCAATACAAAATGTCATGATATTACAGTTCATTCAAATATCTGTGCAATTACTCTAAGATGGAATGTTAGAAGTGTGTTAACTCTTTATGCTGAGACGATGAACACCATGCCTCTTATCATTTGAAATGCTTTGAGCAAAACCACGTCTATTAAGTTAACATTTTATTTGTTTCTGTTCAAGCAAGCTTTTTCAGTATTCTTTCAATAAATACTTTTTAACCATTGGAAAATTATTGAAAAAGACCTTGCAGTACGTTAAGCCTTTATTTATTTGTTTGTTTTTGGATAAAAGTCTGTTTTGGTTTCGCTGTTGGTGTTATTTTTTGGCCAAATAGTTAAAGTTTATTTCCGTTCATTTCTTTGCTTTACTCTTTATTTCCTATAAGTCATTTTTTTTCTCCCTGTGCTTTACCTGTGTTGAGACGACGACTCCTTTTCTTTCAGTTCTTTTCTTCCCCTCCTCCTCGTCTCTCACGTGAACCCGGCATGTTCTTTCCCAAAGAAAACCTAACAAACCAAAAGAAACCATGGAAGTTTTAACCCTTCTGACCTCTGCCCTTCTGTGTGTAGTGTGTTGTTTTTCTCCCCTATTCCTGTCCAGCACTCACACATGACCCAATCTTGACACAGGCCAAGTGGGCGGCGTCTATCACTCGATGATGTCGCTGGTGGACTCTGTTATGTCAGTGATGGACAGCTGGGACTGTAGGAAGAAGGACGAGTGTTGTGCCCAGTGTAGCTGCCTAGTCTGCAGAAACCCGCAGCTCTTTTAAATTTGGGCGAAAGGAGGAAAAAGGATAAAAAAAGAAAGAAAGAGAAGTCGATGTTTGTCATTTTTCCTGTGGTGTGCACGTCTCATATTTAATACCCTACAATGAGGGGATACAGAGCGATGCTGCTGTACTTTCTCTGAAAGCCCTTCTGCTGTCTCTTGTTGTCTCTAAAGCTGATCGCAAGGACAAGTAGCATGGTACGGTCAACCTCAGGTTCTCTCCCGGTCATGTGGCATACTCTGTCATGATGTCTGAGGGTGGGGGTCGTAGCTGTGGGACTGAGCTGGATGTTCCCCAGCACATACACTCAAACAGACCCACACACACTACATTTTAGGTGACATGTCGATGCAGAGGCACACATGCTCTCATATGGCAGTGGACGAGCTTGTCTATATGTGGTGTTTTTTTGTTGCGACGGATAGCTTTTTGTTTCAGGTGCCTCCTTTTGTGTTGTTTTGTTTGATTTGTTGTCTGTGATGTCTTTGTCTCTGTTACATCCAACACCTACATCAGTCACTTAAATGTCCCTCACACACACCTACCCAACACACTGACAAGCACACATTTTGAACCTAATTTTGATCATTAATAGCCCATTTCCACCCAGGAACTCTTTCAGGAGCCCAGACATCTTTAACCAGAGGACGCAGGGACAAACATTTGGTACTTAGGGGGATTGGTCAAAGTCCATCTCGTAAAACAATAAGGATGCACTGGAGCCCATCCCTAACATACAGCCAAGGGTCAGGCATTCCTGATGTTAACAATAGAGACAAGTTTCGGCTTCCTTACACATCTAAAATGCTTTAAATGGGACTCTCAGATCCCCAGTTCTTGTGGCTCCATGGTTCCTGTGACTAGTTTGGTGGAAGAGGGCTATTCATCAGCTTATCTTTGTTAGCTGCAGTTTGTGTGTTTTCTTCTTTTGGCAGAGTGAGAGTTTTGTGAACTCGTTGATTTGCTTTTTTATGTTGTTGAGTATGACAGATTACATTTTTAGAAGGCCTCGCAGGAGTTTATCTAGCTTGGAGTAAGAGCAATCTTTTCATTATACTGAGGCTTGCCTGCGCCAGCTATATCGACCACGACATACACTCACTGTGACTGTTCAGCTCAGGCCCCTAACGTTTGAGCTATCTCATCACCCCCCCCTCCTCTGTGATGTCTTGAGTTGGGAAAGAATGGCTACAGCTGGTTGTAGGCTACATGTGATGCTCTGTGACTGACGTGTTTGTCCGTGATGTGCCGTCGTTCCATCGAAACATGAGCATGAGCTGCTTTTTGTGTCTTCCTGCTGGACTTTCACTTCTTCTCTCATCCATCATCTCAGGCCTCTTCTGCTGCTTCATCCACTTATTCACACAACGCTTAGTGTGGTTTCTCGTCCTCCGAAAATGTGTCGTCTGCTTTCATCCAGCTGCTCTCATTGTTCTCATCGTGTCCGTCAGTTTCACTCCGTACAAACTTTCAATCTGCCTCGCCTCGTTCTTTATCATGTTCACTGTTTAAGTCATTCAGACGGTCGGCTGACTTTTACTAATGGCTCTTTTCTCTTTGACACAGATTCAGCATGTAGTGACTCCTCTAAATCAAAGGTAACGTCCTTTTCCTGTTTTGTTTTCTTTAACTTAAGTCTTTTCAATTCATTTTCTTTGCTGTTTTTTGTCCGCCGCTTTTGATGAGTGTTGTTTCTGCACCAGCAGGGCTTGTGGGGGTCAGGGAAGGATCAGTGTAGCAAAGAGATGCTGCGCTCCTCCTTCTTCGCCAGCCGCAAACGAAAGAAGCCCAAGGACAAAGCTCAATTCAGCAGTTCAGACGACGACCTGGACGCTGTGTTCCCCAAGAAGGAGCTCCCGGGGGAGAGCCAGCAGCAGCCTCTCTGGTCCCCTGGCAGCCGGACGGGGGAGGAGGAGGAGGGGGAGGGGGAGACGGATGAAGCCAGTGAGAAGGAAAAGCTCAGGAGCAGCTCGGAGGAACAGCTTGACAAAAGCAACGTGAAAGAATCTCCTTCTAGCCGCCGGATATCGCAGCCCTCTCCCTCGCTGCCTCCAAAACACGTCTCCTCCACCCTCCACATCAGCTCCCCCTACGCCTCACCCCCCCATTCCCCGAACCTCAGCTATCGCATGCCGATGGCTCACCAGTCCTCTCTGTCGGACGCGCCTTCCAACTACGACGACACGGTGTCCGACCTCGGTACGATGAACAGCACCAGCTCCCAGGCCTCGGTGCCCAGAATGAGGCGAGCGAGGGCGGCCGCTCCGGGTCCGGAGGCGTGCCCCAGCGGGCTCGGAGCGGAGGTCTGCTCCATCACCTCGGATTACTCCACCACCTCCTCCATGACCTTCCTGACGGGAGCTGAGCTCAGCACCCTCAGCCCAGAGGTGCAGTCCGTGGCGGAAAGCCGGGGCGGAGACGACGACGCCGACGACGAGAGGAGCGAGCTCATCAGCGAGGGGCGGCCGATGGAGACGGACAGCGAGAGCGACCTGTCGGTGTTCACAGTCGGAAGATCGGAACGCCGAGAGCAGCAGGAAGCTCCTCGACCGCTCCCCTCCCACAGACTCATCGAGTGCGACACGCTCTCCAGAAAGAAAGCCGCTCAACAGAAAACCGTCAGCGAGTCGTCACTGGACGGAGCCTGGAGCGATAAAGATTCCAACAGGCTGTCGTGTGTGATGGGGTCGGGCAACGGTCGCTCCACAGGCAGCCTCAGCTCCTCGTCTCGGAGCGAGTTAGACAAGGCAGAGCCGGCGTGGAAGCTGAAGATCACCGACAGGCTGAAGGTGCGTCTGAGGTTGTCTGTGGATGACATGTTCGGCGTGGGCAGCGTGAGGAGCCGCTCCCCCGAGGGCCGCAGCAAGAAGAAGAACATCCGGCGCAGACACACCATGGGCGGTCAGAGGGACTTTGAAGAGCTGTCAGTTTTGGGAGGCTGGTCGCACGTTGGCATCGGCTCTCGCTCGGAGCTGTCGGCTGTGGACCAGCTGAAGCCGAAGTGCAGCTCTCAGGACTTCTCCATTCGAGACTGGATTGTGCGTGAGCGCCACCGCACCAGCAACCCCGAGGTCAGCCTGGACCTCTCCGACCAGCAGGGGGGGCTGTGCCGAGCAAACTCCCAGAACCTCGGAGCCTCGTCCTCCTCTGAACTCCCACCTCGTCCCGCTGAGGTGTTGAACGGGGGGGACGCCCCCCTGAGTAAAAATCTGAGCCTCTCGGCCACCGCTCACCCGCATAAACTCACAAATTCCCAGGTGGTCCATTCACGTTTCTACCAGTACCTGTGATGAGTGTTGGACGCGTGTGACTGTGTTTGTTCTCCGTCTGTGAGATGTGTACGTACTTGGGAGTCTGACAGTATAATGTCTGTTGTGTGACCAACGTTAGTGAATGAGCATGTTGTACAAAATTGTCCAGAGTGTGTGTATGTGTGTGTCTTTAACTGTTGTGTGTGCTTGTGAAAAGAGAATTACTGCACACAGGGATCGTTGACCTTGCTCATGTATAAGGCATGAAACAAAATGGTGTTTATACATTTTTTAATTTCTCTTTTATTATTTTTTTTGTTTGACAAATGACTTTGGGATGGCGCAGCAGGGGGACATCTTCTCCTAAAACAAATCCCTGTTATGCTGAAGATCGAGAGGACCTGTCGCTCGTGAAGCAATGAGCCTGTGAAGTTTGTGCAAGGAAGTGTGAACAGTGACACGAGTTAAGATTGTTTAAAGGTTTAGCTAAGTGGCTTTAAGGATAAACTGACTTTTAGAATGAATAGGAAGTAGTAAAAAGAGTTTTTAGTATTGCAGAGGAACTATTTTTGTGTAAAGAAAGTTATGATGTTCAGAGTCAGAGAGTCTCTCAGTAACCAAATGAAGAATGTACAGACATGCTTGCTGTAATACTGACTAAAAGCTTTAGATGCTTGTGTTTCACTCTAAAGCGTACATATTCCTATTTTTCTGTGTACTTGAATAGTGTTTTTTTGGTACAGCCCGTGTGGGACTGCCTACAAGCTCTCCGCTGTCAAAGGGGGCCTCTCCAAAGGTACAGAGGTGACGAGGAGACACTGGACTTATGCAAACGGAAAATAGAGTTCTTATTAATTATCCCAGTTATGTGGTTTAAAGAGCAGTGAACAACATCCCTCTGATGCAACTGTAATGCTGTGTTTTTAGTGTTCGTGCTTCACACATCTGTCAGTGGCTGGCGGTAGATTGCAAAGTGGAAAAAAAAAGTTAAAAGAAAATGGGTATTCAAATCTGAAAATCATGTTTTTTTCACAATAGGAAGTGCCTCACAATGAATTGTTAAGGGTGCCATACTGTCTTTGTTGAGATACACGAAGATGTTACTGTGAATGACATTTTTACTGTCGACTCTGTCATTCTAAGGGTTATGTAACAAAATGCCGATCTTCCATTACTTAGGCATTCCACTCCGGTCTTAACATGTTTTATACTTCTTTTTTTCTCTCCTGTTTTTCATATTTTGATTTTAACAGAACTTGAATTTTAAATATTCCTTGTAAAATAAGTAACTTAAATGTACATATACATGCCATGTTTTAGCTGCTTTACTTTTCATTTCTATCAGATTGCAGGATTTAAGTTCAGTATTGTGAGACGACGATGATGATGATGATGATGATGATGATGATGATGCTCATGAGGCCTGTTCGGGTGTTGTGGGCAGTTTGGTACTTCTCTGAGGAAAGAGGCATGAGGAAACTCTTCATCGTGCTGGACTGTGTGTACCACCGCTGTGTCCTCTGATTGTTAGAGGGGTTCGGACAGACTCCTGAAACACTGGAAATAAATTTTGTCAATGGCAGATGGTCATGAATGTTTTTTTTCCTGTCGCATTGTAGAAAATAATCACAAGAGTATTGTCAGCAAAGAAAGGCCAAACAAATCTACCAAGATTACTTTATATTGTCATTGACAAAAAGCAACATTTAGTAAACTCTTAATCAATGTTTAAAAGCAGTTATACTTTTAGGCAGTCAAAAATGATTTGAAAAAAAGCTGATGGGACAGAAGTATAATCCTGTTCCTGCTTGATCATTATTGGCAGTCTGGACAACACAATATTTCTTGATTTCATCCATCTTGTTTGTGCAACTTGGTTACATTTCTTATCTCAGAAAGTGCCAACTTCATAACATGTATTTAAACATTTTAAAGGTCCCCTATTCTACTATTTTTCAACAACATATTATAGGTCTCAGATATATTCAAAACATGTCTCTGAAGTGTTAGGCTGAAATACCAAACAGATCACCCATTTTAGCATCCCATAAACCCCTCTGTTTCAGCCCTGTTTCAAAATTGCTGATTTTGTGTCTGTAGCTTTAAATACAATTGAACTGCCACGCCCCTCTGCAAAGTGTTTGGTTTAAAAAAACACAATGGTACTGTAGGAGGAGATTCAGGTGATAAGGTGGGCAGGGGTTGCCTTATTGGCTAATGGTTTCACAACCCCAAAAACATTATGACATCACAAAGTGGCCAACATCTGAACTGATTTTCAGACAGGTTTTTGTACAGGTGGATCAAGACTAAAAGAAACAGAATCTTTTTTTATAGGTATAAAAGTTATTATTAAAGTGAAATGGCCCTTTGCTTGCACAGGAAACCCGTTAAGCCCTCAATGTTACTGCAGTACTTCTACTACACACAGCAAGGTATATACTGGTTTAGGATTTTTTTTAAACAATACAATATTGCAGCAGTCGTATGTTTGTTTGCATACTAATATAATACAAAGTGACAAAGAAAGCTACTCCAAGGTACATTTCAAAACGCTTTATATACAAGTTGCACATACAACAAAGACTTAAACAATAAAATATGTATACACTTTGTACATCAGCTGACTAGAAACCACTGACATTACTAACAGAAGTGACAAGGGGAGAGACTCGAGCCAATTCAATTTCACACACAAGTCAAAGTAACTCTCAGAATAACGAAAATTCAGCATAGTTAACTCACCAGTATGCCAGTTTGGAAGGTAAATATCAATAACTGTTTGCAAACAAAATACTCTTTACATTTCAGTCAGTATAATACCATCTTTCAAGCAGCCATACAATTATTTTGTACTCTCCATGTTTTAAGATAAAACTGTGCCATGCTTTGTGATTTAAACGTCCCTCACTCATAACTGGCTATTATTTGAGGAACATTAAATCATCTAGTTGTGAGTCTGCAGTTCAGACAAGGCCTATCCATATTTACTCCAGTATCATGTGGGCTCCCAACATGACCATTTCACCCACAGTAAGGCACAGCGACTAAAAGAACAAGAGTTCAATTCAGGAATAGGAAGAGGGAAAATATGATGTCGTAACCATTTCTGTATAGACACTTTTTTTGGAATTAAAACATTGCCCTCGTTCGGTAAAGCGACTACGGACTGATGCAGCCAGACATCCATTTAAAGACACGACACTGAACAGAGAAATTCGGAGAAACAAGTAGTAATTATACTCATGAACACAATAATCAGTAAGTTGGTTGGCAAGGTTAATGAAACTGGCAGTCTTTCAAAAGTTGAATCTCAGTTGATCTTCACAGGGGATATTTTGTGCAGTAAAGCGACCGATGAATGTGCCTTGTCACACATTTCTCAATGGACGTTATGTTGATCCTCCATTTGTCCACTAGAGGGCGAACTAGTCCATATATTCCAAAGCAGAGACGGTTCACATCTGAGATCTGTCTTTCTGACCAGCAGCCAGCGCGAGGGCAGGGGGGGGAGGGGAGGGGTTGTAGGTCGAGGCCATTCTTATTATACATCCATGGTCGAGGCCCCTTTAGCACATGCAGGTGCTTCAGAGTAGAGCTTAAATCTGATTGGACAGCAGGTGTTGTGGGTTGGCTGGGTTTGAACAATCTCTTACATGTTGTGCTGTAAAGCTGGCCAGGGGCTGCTCAGAGGAGATTAACTGTCGTCCTCCTCCTCCTCCTCCTCTGGTTCCTCCGTCAGTATCTCCGGCACCCGGAAGCACACCTCGAAGAAGTTGACCAGGGCCTGGCTCAGGTGCTGCTGCGTGCCGTCACTGTGGAGAAAGTGGCCCTCATCTGGGTAGATCTGGAAATAAATACCCAGGAATGGATTTATGGAATATTTGTATCATTCATGTTTTTTTAATAATGATTTTTGACTGATTAACTATGTGTGTAAAAATTCTACAAATTACTCGTAGTATACCTTAAAGTATCCCAGTATAGTTTGCCATTGAAATCCAAATTATTTCTCCAAAAAAGTAATTAGAATAGACCATATATTTTGTCATAAAAAGTCTTACTAAAGTATATAATAAACATACTCATAGTTTAGTATGTCTTAAAAAAGTAATACAATTGTCTTAATTATTATGTAAATATGTCGTTACAAAAATATAAGGAGCGTAGCCTACTCATTTCATTAGACATGTCATAAAATGTTATTTTTTTATAATAGTATAAATGCAATAAAAATTGTCTTTAAAAAGTTTCCCATAAAAAAGCTATACTGAAGTATGCATTAAAAAGAGATATGATGGCGCCGGGATAGCGCAAAAGGCAGCTTCGCCGCATGTCGCAACCCCTCCCTCGCTCTTTCAAGTCAATCTTTCTATCTTATCAGGGGAGAAATGCCTAAAAAAAAGTCCTTTAGTTTATCATAAAAAGGTCATAGGTCGTAGGCTATGTTGTATCATGGCTATTGTGACAACACCCTGTATCCTTGCTCTGTGAAGAAAGCAGTGCTATGTGCAACCACATGATGAATCTAGCTAGGGTTAGGGGTTCTCACAAACTCACCTGTAGAGTGTAATTAGCCTTCTTGCTGATTAAATGATTGATAAACTTGGCTGTGTGCTGGAAGTGAACCTTTTCTGTGGAGGTAGAGAAGAGATGAGACAACACATTAGGTGGTGATCACAGTTAAACAGTTTCACTTCCAGCATTATTGAGAAATATTATAGTTACCGTCAGCAGTTGGGTGAATTATCAAGTACTGCTTCTGCAGGAACAGGCCCGCTTTGTGCGCTAAACTCGCTTTCTGAAGGAAAGACAGAAAACCCCACCATATATATCATACTAACCATCTCAATAATGACCCTTAATACTTAACAAATTGGGTGTGGCATTTGGATAAGGGAAGGAAACAATAAAACCTTACCGTATATACTTGGGAATCTGTCTTTGAGCCGAGGTATCGTTCTGAGAATGCAGATGCTGCAATTTAAGAAAGAGGGAAAACAGAGTCAGGAAATGTTTGTATTCCTTCAGCATCTCTTTAACATATTCATGGTAGAAAAATACGTGGAAGCTATACCATAAAGCTCGAAATCTGTAATGGGGGAGACTGCTGCTCCGCACTTAAGTTCAGTAAACTCCTCAGAGCTCAGAAGCAACGTGGCCAAATATCCTCCATAAGCCTGAACAAAGGTAGGGGAGAAACAAATCAGGAAGTCTAATTAATTAATACGTTAGGATGATAATAATATAATGGTGTGAGCCTCTCAGGAGCCTCTTTGTGGTGCATTTTTACCTTTCCATAAACTCCCATTCGACTCTTATCAATATAAGTCTCTTTGGATATGAACCTAAAAGTGAAAGAAAACTGGTCAAACTTGCAATGTTTCGGGAATCAAAAAGGCTTTGTTTTTCCGTCATGCTTGCAGTGAAAGAAGGAGTCTGAACCTCAGTGCCTCCATCTGGTCTTTCTCCTCCAGTATTCCCAGTTTCCTCCGGACTTTGTGCAGCAGGTTGGTTCCCTGGAAGCCGCTGCCGTGGCCGTCGAAGCGGATGACGATGGTGCTGAAGCTGCTGACCAGGACCGAGGCCCAGTCCACCCGGAACTGCTCCGACACCATCTGCCCGCCGGGGGTCCCGTCCCTGTGCCAACACCACAGCCAGGTCAGCCATTTTAATGTAAGACACATTTCTCAGAGATTAAAATGATATGTGAATCATCTTTAAAGGAATACACACATGTTATCTTAGTATTCTTGGTTTCATAACCGGACAAATAGAGGGTTTAGTCAATATCACCATAAGGTGCATTTGAGACTTCCCCATTTCCAAAAAAAATAAGCTGAGATTTTCCATTAAACTTCATATTCATTGTATTAAGTAGATGTTATGCTGTTAGCAATGCATGTTGGTCAAGTTCCCACACTTTTTTATAAATTAACTGCAAGCAGACAATGTACATGCAAACAGCAAAATATACCGGGTGCTGACAGGGTGGACATTTTTGGCTAATGTTAGCATTTAATGAGCACATGGTGGACCTTCAGTTAGCAACATGATTCAGTTAGCAAGGTGACTATGTACTGTTTAACACAACATTGTACAAATAGGTTTAAAGGGAACACAACAGCAACAAGGAAATACAAGAATTAGCTTGCTGAGTAAAATAATCTAATTCACCACAACCTTATCAAACTATGAAGTTACATAAAAATTACAATGTTCACAATGAAGAATCTAATCCAGCATATACTAGTTCATATTAAATGATGTTATATTATGACACTGTCTTGTGCTGTCTAAAGCATTATGGGAAATGTATGATCCATATCTTTTAGATATTGACCCAAACTCTGGATATCCACATGTTTTAAATGATTCTGTCCTTAATAATACTCCTGTGATTCCCCTACATGTAAATGTGTGAAATATTAAACTGCTGCAGTATCCTTTTTGAACAATAATGAAAGTAAATCATAGTTAATGCACTCAAGTGTTGATAATATTCTTCGTACTGTTTCACCGATATGTCTTTGTGATAAAAACAGCAGGCGTACTCATACTCACACTAGCAGCAGTAAGGGG